CACCCACCCTTCTGCTGCCCGTCCCCCAGAGAGGAGGTTATATGTAGCTCCCTGTGATCCATTCCCCCATGTAGTTTATAATTTTTAGAGGGATACATTTTGCCTAACCTGGGAGAGGTGTAAGCTTCACAAGGGCCAGCACTCTCTCTGCTTGCATTAACCGCTACACGTTCCCAAGGTTTGGTTTACAGACAGCAGTAAAGTTCTGTTGAAAAAGAAGATATGTAAGGACTGTTGATTCTTGTGCAAATGTATACTTCAAAATCCTTTGAGTCACACAGTTGTTTGTTTTTTTTTTGCGTATAATCTTTTTATAGACTGTGACCATTTATGAACTGTTTTCACAAATAGTCTCCTTTAATTATCAACCTTGTTGGTAGGTGTTGATTTGATTATCTAGTTAAGGAAACCGATTTTGAGTTTTAAGTGTCTGGTGCTAAGTGTCAGATAGAACAAGGTGTGGTATGAGGACAGTTCAGTAGAAGAGGCTGGAGGCGCAGATAGTGTTGAGGAAGCTGTAATTGGCATGGCGTGAGGCAGCTGTAGAGAGATGTACAACCTACAGGACTCATAGGTGATTGGAAAACAAGAGGACAAGTTAAAACTAACTCTGAGATTTCAAACCTAAGGGGCTGTAAAATCTTGGTACATTTGATCAGCTTTGTTGGAGAGGAAGAATATAAACCTCTATTTTTTGTCACAAAAGCTAAACATAAATCAGTGTATCTTAAAAGCCATAACTAAATTAAAGAATTCATTGCCTCTTTTGCAATTTTTAGGTACTCATGATGAATTGGTACTTTGAATTTCTAAAGTCTTGATCATGTTCATAATAAATCCACTACATAATGAACATTATTTTGTGTACCTGCTTGTTTCCTCCCTGGGTCAGAATGCCGTAGGTAACGGACTGTGTTGCTGGTCAGCGAGCACTGGGCCCTTGTTTATGTGACAGCGAGGACTGCACTGTTTTGAACTGGCCCTAGAGAATATGCACAACAAAACATCACCAATGCACCAGTGTCCACATGTTCAGGTGGTGGCACCGGTCTCTGCTTTTCCAAGTTATTTCACCGCCATAAGCATGAGCTCGTTGCCGCTTAAGCTTCTCTATTAACCTTTCCAGTTTTGTGTTGTCAATTTGTTTACATACCTGATTTCTTTAAAAGAGCACAATGCTGAAGGCGGATATTCTTTTTTTGTTTTTTTATGGCAGTTATTCTTTACTTACTAGGTAAGCTATTTATTTGTGCTTAGCGATAACTTCAGGGGATAGTTTCAGCTTAAGGTTGAAAGATTATCTCAGAGCAGTGATTTCTGAAGTGTGGGGCTGGGGGGCAGATGTCACCCAGCCTTGGGGGCAGAGTCTGCTCTTAAACACTTAGTTTAAAATGCGCTGAAGTGAATGAAATGCTACACAGGAAAGTGGAATGTAGCTTTTCTTTATTAAGTGCAAGCTTTCGTTTTTTTTAACAGGGTTTTAGTACTGATTGCGATTTAAAATGCAGAGGAATGATGTCTGAAAATGGCGACAGTTCTTTGCTGCTCTTGGGTACTTGCCCTTGAGATTTGCATCGATTACTGAAGTCTCAAGGCTTTCTTTATGTGTGGTTTAGGGGTCTGCCATTGCATTTAGTTATTCCTTACAGGTATCGGGCAGTTTATTGAAGCTTAGTGTGGATTTTATAATGCAGCCCTAAAAAGACATCTATGATTATCTTTTAACTTTTTATTAATGTTTTCAAGCAGATTTTCCCCAATTAGAAGACACATGTGTGTGTCTCCAGTGTTCTTTAGATGATGGTCTTCTAAGCTTTTACCAAGATTTTCTTATTAACGTTCCATGTAAAAATTTCTCAAACTTGTAAATAGTGAACAACTCCTGTGACTTTGGTGTAGTTCTGTTCACTTCTAAAGTTTGCTGACAGGGTCGGTTGTGGGAAAAAGTCTTCAGTTTATCATTTTTATTTTTATGTGCCAGGCTGAAGACTTGAAGAAGCTAATCAGACACATGGAGCACTGGGCACATAGGCTATTCCCTAAACTGCAATTTGAGGATTTTGTTGACAGAGTTGAATACCTGGGGAATAAAAAGGAAGTTCAGGTAAGTGTTGAGGTCATTATGAATTTCATTCACAATGCTACGTACAAGGGTAGATATAGCCAGAGTTTAGACAGAATGGCACTGTAATGCCTGCTAACTTTGTAAAGTGCAAGAAATATCTGATTGTGCTTTGGAGATTTTAGAGTTACAGGAATACCCAGTAAAGATCCTTGATAGGTGATTTTCTTTTCTTTTTTGAAAACCCTTTTAAATAGCTGTGTGTGGGACCAGCCTCCCTACAACAGAATGGGTCTATGGGCGGGGTGGGGTGGTTGTGTAATTGAGGGGAAAGTTAAAGAGACATCCGGCAAGATACAGCATGCAAGGGCTCAGGTCGGAGCAGAGAGTCATGTAATCTCAGGCATGCAGGCCAAGGTAAGTATATACGTAACAGGAAGGGGTTGTACAATAGGCATACTCCTAACAGGAGGGGGATGAACTAGAATTGGACATGCAATAGGAAGGGATGGCTCCAGTGGCACACACGTGACAGGAAGGTAAGGTGTACACGTAACAAGATAGGCCGGCTCTAGAGTCAAGATGGCAGCCTAACCGTGGTCTTCTGAGTTGGCTTGACCTTAGGTGTCTGGGCTTTCCTGGGAAACAGTCCATTATCCTTATCAGAAGGAAGTGGCACAGACAATAGGGTCTGATGGCCTTAGATGGCTGACAACCTTCAGGTAGATAACCTTCAAGCAGTTGACCTCCATGTGGGTAGTCAGTGACCAAGTGTTTGCAAACAGCACCTTAGATTTGGCATTATTATGGGGGGACATTGTGGGGGATAACTTTTACTTAGGAGAATGTGAGGGGGCGCATCTCCAACCCACGAACGTGAAGGTTCCCTCCACGGGAGCCTTGACCTCCCAAACTCCTTAACATGTGAATGTTGAGAGTTTGCCTACATACCCTTCTTCCAGTTCTGTTTCCCACAGCTGTGTGAAGTTTTCATTTTTAAATCACTCTTCATAGATAAAAGTAAGTGTAATAGATAGGTAAAATTTAAAGAATAAGTTTGTGGGTTTTTAAAAAAATCATTTTATTGGGGGCTCATAACATTCCATACATCAATTGTATCAAGCTTATTAGTATATATGTTGTCATCATTTTCTGAATTTTTACTTTGTATTTGAGCCTTTGGTATCAGGCCCTCCCTGTGACCTCTTGATAAGTTATAAATTATTATTATTTTATTCATATTTTACATTGACTGCTATCTCCCTTCACCCACGTTTCTGTTGTTCATCCCCTGCGGGGCGGGGTGTGTGTGTGTGTGTGTGTGTGTGTGTATGCATCAATCATTGTGATTGATTCTCAAGAATAAGTATTTTGAAACATGAGAAAATGGCCATTTCCTAGCCCCGTATTATTATGGGCAAAAATGCAAATATCTTTTTTTTCTTTTAAATTTTCAGACCTGTTTAAAACGAATCCGACTTGATCTCCCTATTGTACATGAAGATTTTATTAGCAGTAAAGGTAAGTTGTAGAGGTTAACCTGATAGAATCATTTTGCTTTTAGGTATGATCTCGTTGGTAGGCAGTCTTCCTGGTTTTGAGTATATAATTAAAAGTACAGTAAATGACAGACTAGGAATGAGTTAGAATGCTTTGGTACATCTAGAATGTTAAGTATGAAATTTGTTTCTTTTTTGAAATTTGTTTCTTAAGTACTTGGTTTACAATGCCATTAGAGATCTTGTAAAAATAAATTTAGCCTTAGAATGTGAGCTTTTGGAGGACTCTGGTGATCTATTGATCCTTTATAATGGCCAATTGATCCTATTTCTATTGATCGTTTATAGAAAAGTACCTTTGGGAAATTAGGCAGCATAATTTGATGATGAAAAGTGTATGTTTCGCCCAGTGGAACCCTGGGACAGAGAGCTCGAGTGAGACCTCAGTGACTGGTCCTGGTATTGATTGCCTTGTCACTTGTACAGTGCAACCGTGGAGAGTCACTCACATCGAAACACGTGGTTCCTGCCGACAGGGTCTGTATAGTGATCAGATTTTCTGTGCGATGGTTCCATACATATTTGTGTGTGTGTGTTAGTGTGTGGTGTGTGTGAACTCGTAAAAGATGTGGTAGAAAATAGTTACTTGAAAGTATTTATTGAAGATAGCAAGATTCTACATATAGACTCTTCCAAAGTTTATAACCTGCATTTGAAAGCATATGAAGGAAGGCAATGAAATAATTTAGAGTTTAAATTTTTTTTAAGATACGGTGTGTATGTAGTGATGGCACTGGATTTGATATATTAAAAGGATTTATACCTATTCATGTATTAACATGGTCACATTCCAAAGACCAGGCCCTTATGTGAAAACCAGTGTTAGGTGGGAATGGAGGATGACTACATCATGACTTGACTGCCAATTTATATCATTATACTAGGGTCAGGTGACCAGATTTTAACATTGGTAAAGCGGGACACCATTGATAAAACTTATCCTGGCGAAATAGCCACATGGCAGCCAAAAAATGCCCTAGCTTGTCGTGCATTCTTTCCAAATATCGGGACTTTTTAAAAACGCCACAGGACGTGGGAAAAATTGTTTAAAATTGGGACTGTCCCACCAAAAGTGGGACGTCTGGTCATGTTATACTGATGGGGGAGGTACCTAAAAAACCCCTGGAATTACCCTCTTCCCCCAATGCTGTGTATTTAAATTTTTTTTACAAAACAACCTTTTCACCTTCAAAGTACTCTCCATTACACTTAATACGTTTTTCAAACTCATATGTTTGGATGGCTGACAGCACCGTCCTTATTTTTTTCCGCCTCTTCCACGGCATCAAATTGCTGTCCTTTCATCACCTTCATTTGTGGAAGCAAAAAGAAGTCAAATGGAGCGAGTGCAGGTGAGTGGTGAGTAAGGTGCATGGGGCAAGAGAGAGGCATGCTAGTTTTTGCCCCAAACTGGCTCACTGCGATGGCTCATAAGCAGGTGCATTGTCGCAGTGGCAACACTAGTTCCCCCGTCGGCCACAGATCAGGCCTTTTTTTTTTTGGTTGCACACTGTTATGCAATCTTTCCAGAACCTCTAAATAGAAAGCTTGGGTGGAGCGAACTCCAAATGCACTGAGTCGACATTTTCATCCTTTTGGGAAGTTGACGTCCAGACGAGGTTTGTCATCAATGGACATTTCACCTCTTTTGAAACGAGAAAACCACTAATATACTTGAGTTTTTCCCATAACGCTGTCCTTGTATGTTGTGTTCAACATCACAACAGTTTCTGCAGCATTTTTCCTGAGCAGGAAACAAAATTTCACAGCTGCATGCTGTTCTCTTAAATTGGCTATCACAAAAATGAGGTTTGAGTGGAAGCTGCTTTTACAAAAAATTTCATTGTGACCAGAGAGAACCTTCCCAGCCACTGAGTGCACTAACAGAGTGAGTGGCTCGATGCTTGCTTAGCAAGGGCGGCGGGGGGCAGGCAGGGACTACAAAAGCTCCACCCAGGGGAGCTTTTATCTGGTTGTTGTTTTTTTGTGGGGGTGCCCCTGCATATATCTATTAAACCACTGAGAATCATGGGCCAGCCAAGTTCAGAGATAACCTTGGCCATCACAGGTAGCGTTCCTTATTGCCACATGCATGTCATTACTGTGCAAAATAGTCAGATAGTGGATAATTCACTATTGATTATAAACGTGGAATGTCAGTTAATGAGATAGTTAATATGTGAGAGTAGGTGTACTTATTACTGTGCAAATGTCCACAGCATAACCACTTGGTGAGTTTATTAACAACATTTTTGAGCTGCCTACTCTAATACAGGTTTAGGGGTAAAGGTGAATAAGATCAGGACCCTTCTGAGGTTAACAGACCAGAGAGAGGCAGACATACATCTCCAGTAGTCTAGTGATGCTTAATTAAAAAGTATGAATTGGGCACAAGATGGGGTGTAAAAGAGCATTCATTGTTAATTTTACCTAGCAGCCAGTTGACTAAGTTGTGTCCCTCGTGAACACTAGAGTAGAGCAGTGCTGGAGGGACAGGGAAGCTTCACAGAAGAGAGAACTTCAGCCCTTTGGTGAGTTGTGGAGGTCTGGCAGAGAGGGTGTGGGTTAGAGAGAGCAGCTTGTGCGGTGGCATCAGTTAGCAGGCCATTCTGGGGGAGTAGAAGCAGTTACAATAGACTTGTGTCCCAGAGCTCTTCTTTCTTGAAGCTATCTCCTTTATATCAGGCACCATAACAGCACAATGGTTTCTTTTTATTATTATTAATACAGTATTTCTTTGTCTCCCCTCTGTCAAACCCTGAGCCAATGACTTTCCCCAGGCTGCCCGGGGAGGTGCAGGGAAAGGCACAAAAGGGCCAACGAAAGGCCTGGCAGAGAACTACGGGAGGTGGAGACCCTCCTTCACATGGGGAAGAGGATGAGGGAAGGCCGCCATCAGGCAAAAAAGCCGCAGGGCCTCCGCAAGGGCAGAGCCCAGGACTGCGAAGAAGAGCTGCTGCTTCCAAGAAGGGATCCTGGCATAACCGATGAGGCTCCCAAAACACAGTTCCAACTGTGGCAGCCCCGGCCCCGATGAATTTGGCGGCTGTGATCTTTGAGATGGAGCTGGTTTGGAAGCTGCGACTGGGGACAAGTGAGGTCCGCAAACGTGGGCTGTCAAGCTGCTGAAGCTCCTCTCTCAGTGTCTCAGGCTGTACCAGCACAGACCTGGTCGGCTCAGCAGCAGGGAGTGCTCCCGCCCAGGGAGGGTGGGGATTGGCGCAGGCGTACATTTTCAGGGGCTGAGGGGCAGTGGCCAGCGGCTCCTAGTGCAGAGAAGACAGAGGGGTGGTGTTTTTTAAATTTATTTTTAAGCACACATATAGTGTACATTTTTTATTTTTGCTAAAAACAATGCAGTTTTCTGTTGAATACTTTTTTCCCCCCTCAGAAATTTCGGGTTAAATGTTTATTGGAAAAGAGTGATTTGAAGGTCTGGTGATAGATTCATGCGCCCCCACCCTGCAAACCAAGTGGTTTACATGTAAAGCATCTGGGACTTTCATTTTGTTTTGTTTTTTAAATTATGTTTCTTTTTTTTAAACACTTTATTGAGGGTTCTTACAGTTCTTGTTACAATCCATACATCAGTTGTACCAAGTACGTTTGTACGTGGTCTAGCCAGATTTGTATGGTAGAATTGGGATCATGATAGTGGGTGGGGAGAAAGCATTTAGGAACTAGAGGAAAGTTGTATGTTTCATCATTGCTACACTGCACCCTGTCTGGCTCATCTCCTCCCCGCGACCTTTCCGTAAGGGGATGTCCAATTGCCTACAGATGGGCTTTGAGTCTCCACCCCTTACTCCCCCTCATTCACAATGATATGATTTTTTGTTCTGATGATGCCTGATCCCTAATCCTTTCGACATCTTGTGATCACACACACGCTATCTCATTTGATAGCCAGACACTATCTCATTTGATAGCCAGGGCACCATCAGCTTTCTTCACCACATTTGCTTACATGCCTTGTCTTCAGTGATCGTATCAGGAAGATCAGCATATAGTGATAAGATTTTTTGTTCTTTGATGCCTGATAACTGATCCCTTCGACATCTCGTGAGCACGCAGGCTGGCATGCTTCTTCTATGTGGGTTTTGTTGCTTCTGAGCTAGATGGCCGCTTGTTTACCTTCAAACCTTTAAGATCCCAGATGCTATCTTTCACCACATCATAGAATGCCAGTTTAATAGAGCCAAGTATTCTTGCATTGAGGGGGTACTTGAGTGGAGGCCCAATGTGGGACTTTAATTTTCATAGTTAATGGTTGGAATTTTGTTTGTATACTAGCAAGTTTTCATCTCTACTTTCAGTCCCCCTGCTACCACAAAATAATCATTTTGTTGCATTTTTATATTTAAGACAAATGCAGTTAATATCACCCACCTGTATTAAAAACCTTGCAATGACGCGTTTCATTAGACTCAGAAGTCCCAATCCTAATGCCCTCCTTTCACCTGTGCTCTTGCCCCTGGCCTCTGACCAGCTCTGACCCAAGGTCAGCAGTTCAAACCCACCAGGTATTCCATGGGAGAAAGATGAGGCTGTCTGCTCCTACAAAGATTCATTGTCTCAGAAACCCTATACCAGGCATTGTGAATCGCCGTAGACTTGATGAGAGTGTGCTTGGAGGGTTGCCCTTACATTTAAAATCAGGACTGACACAGAGGGACTGTCCTTGTCCATACTGCAGTTACTGCCTTTTCAGCTATTCAGAATGAACACTGGCAGCCCCACAGTTCAGAAGGAAATATAGTCTGGCCATCACTAACGCTGTCAGTTCAGCACATTTGAAATTACAACTATTTCTAAATGTGCAATTAAATAAATTGACCAATACTATCGAGTTTAAGACAAAACCCCACAAAATGCCACTAGGGCTCCTTAAATGAAAGGTGAAGCTTAATTTTTCACAATACTTAAAATATAAATGAAAACCCTAGTACTTCCTTTCTAAATCACTGGATCATTGTGGGGCATCCCTGCTTTGTGATACCTGGTGGTCAGGGCTCTAGGTTTGTTAAGACAATGTAGAGAACACTGAATTTTTAAAAATTACTTGGAAATATGTCCACAGACTTCTAAATTTCTTTTCCTTTTTTGTTTGTGTCCCATAAAAGAAAATAGCCTATCTAAAGTAATTATTGTGTACCATAGATAATATGGCAAGCTATTAAAATATATTGGTTTAAAAAACAATTATGGTTGTTGTTCTTCACACTCAAAAATGTAAAAAATGTTAGCCCAAGAATAAAATATTTCTAATCATAACCAAGAATGTTCTCTTTCATGCATATTTCTATTTGAAGTATTTCCATTTAACTTAAAGTGCCTCTTTAAAGTGATTAAGTAGCCCTTATTTGAACCAACCATGTATTCCTAACATTCCCACACTTCACAGATAGCTTCATCAGTTCTGACATCTTGCAACTTGAAATTGATTTTTTTAATCAATTTTTAATAGCCCCTGGAATCTAATCATACCGATACATATTAACTGACTTTCCCCCTTTTTACTACAGATGAAGTAGGGGAAAATAGCGACCATGATGTGTCTACCACTGAATTAGATCCTTTTATGACGAGCTCATCTGAAAGTGAGAGGTTTGCTTCGGAGCCAAGGAGAAGCCTAACCGTAGAGGAGCGACAAAGAATGGAGAGAAATCAGCGGCTGGCCTTGGAGAGAAGACAGGCAAAGCTACTGAGCAACAGCCAGCCCCTGGGCAATGGTAAAGTTGATGCCTGATTTGCGAGTTTCTTTTAATATTCTGGGGGCATGTGAGAAACTTAAGCTTCCCTACCATTCCCGCCAAGTAAAATACCCTTAGGACTAGAAAAAAACTAAAACAGTGTATCAAGTTTATACATAAAATTTGAGAAAGTGTGTGTGTGTGTTTAGCTGTTTAGATCCACAAAGACCAGTAAGACCAATAAGATTTTTTTTCCTTCTGGATAACTACCTCTTAAAAGTTATTTTAATCATTGAAATTCATTCTAGATACATAAAAAATGTATTCCTAACTCTTTAAAGCATATGACACACTGCCGTCTTTAGCATCCTAATTGTAAATGTTAATTACTGTGGCACTGCCCTAAACATATAAAATGCCTTCTCCACCCACTGAGGGTTTTCGCGGCATTGACGCTGTGTGCTGAGACGCTTTTCCTTTGCGTTATGTCCTTTCCAGTGTGGGCTCTCACTTTCGGGGTTGGTTCGTTTGCTTGTCAGTAACATTCTTTGCCCTTTGGAAAACTGCCCTAGAGTTAATGTTTAAGACTGAGTTTGTAAACCGACTGTAAAAATAATTATCAATTGGTATTGGATTAAGTCAGTGGTTCTCAACCTGTGGGTTGCTACCCCTTTGGGGGGGTCAAACAGCCCTTTCACAGGGGTTGCCCGATTCATAACAGCAAAGTTACAGTGATGAAGTTGCAGTGAAAATAATGTTATGGTTGGGGGGTCACCACAGCATGAGGAACTGTATGACAGGGTTAGGAGGTGGAGAACCACTGGATCAGGTGGACGAGATTGCATGGAGCGAAAGGGAAAGTCAAGGAGTATTGCCACTAGGGATCCAGTTAACGTATACACGAGTTTATCCATAACCTATGTTAACACGTCTCTGGAATCTGGACAGTCGCAGACGAAGTCTCCCCAGGAATAACTTGTCTTTGTCTTGTTAGAGTCCCCTGAAAAAGTTCACTTAAAACGGTGGCTTCGTAAAGGAGAATCTTCTGGGCCAGTTAAATTCAAGACAAGTCAGCTTAGAAGGTTATGGTTGACTTTTGGGGGGTAATTTCATGGGGGGAATCTTGTTCAACTTCTTTGAAGGACAAAGGACAGTCACGGGCTTGTTAGGAAGAAGCTTCTGATATATTGAAAACTGCCTTGGTGAGAACAGGACAGGAAAGTTGCTCTGAGAAATTTTTCCATCACAACCGTGCACCGGAGGGCTGTCTGAGGAGAATTTCATTGGGAAGCTTCCCTCCATCCACCCACAGCCTTGATGTTGCCTCTTCAGACGTTTGTTCCCCACACCCAGTATTTATAAGGAACATGATTTGAGTCCCTCCAGAGTGCCATCCGGGAGTCGGGGTGCCATAGTGAGTTGTGTGTACATTACCACCAGCCTCGTAGGGAGCACGGTGAGGCTTTCTGCCTCAGTCAAGAGTGGCGGCTCACACCCACAGGGGCAGTTTTACACCGTAATCCGCTCCGCTCCATGGCAGTGAGTAAGGGAGAATGCCCTAAGTGCCGTTTTTGGTGTGATGCAAAGTGGAGAGCACTTTACATTTGAACACTCCCTTCAGAAGTGTGTTGTTCTAGATGGGAGATATATCAAGGAACAATAACGTCACATTTTGATATTTTTGCTTAATAGAGGGTTTAATGATTGTGTAGCAATACTTTTTGACACCTCATTTTAAGTGACTTGCTGTGTTAAATGTCTCACCTAATAAAATTCTCAGGTGAAAATATTCAATGACCTATGATTTAAAAAAAATTTTTAAGTGAACTTAATTTGTCAGATATGTCAACTTAATATGTCAAAAATCACAAAGACGTGACCCTTAAAGACATGACTCTTTGGAGTGGCTTCTTAAGCTGCTGTCTTCATAGGATGGATACCTGGCAAGAATTAAGGCTCATCTATTAATGGTGTATGACTTTAAAATGTGCCCAAATGGACACAGATATCTTAAATTTTCTTTACTGGTTGATAATTTTGATACACAACTAAGTGCATTTGTTTTTAAGAAAATTTTTAAAAAATTATTATTACTAGACTACCCTTTTAGTACTTCTGATTTTGGATGAAGTGTTAAAATTTGATTATGATTCTAGGGTATCCTTCAAGACCCATTTTCATTTTTAAATGGACTTTACATTTATGAAAATGAGTCTTTAGAAGACAGTGGTCATAGATAACATTAAGTGAGCACAGATTTCACTTCCATTGACCTTGTGGAGGTGCTTGTATGTGTCAGGTGTGGTGGGAGCAGTTCTGTTAATGAGACATAATGAGGAGGATCCTTTCTTTCAGACTTGCTCATGGATACACCGGAGGCACCTACTGAGGAGGTTAATACAAATGAAGATCAAACAGAGGGGTCAAGTGGACTGAATGAAGACACTACAGAAAACCCACATAATGATGCTGCCGGTACTATAAATGCTGAGGATGAACTATAGTGTGAGAAAACGCGACTGGAACAATGTCTTTCAATGCTACACCCAGAAATGTTTGCCAAAGTGGGGCAGACCTCAGATTAGAAGGGAAGCCTCTTCGCTTCTTGTCACCCAGGTCTGGGGTTTGCTGTGTACAAATGATCTCCTTTGAGTGAATGTCACCTGGGTAAATTTTGGTTTCAGGTTTCTGTTTAAAACCTGGCATTTATTTTGGTCGCGTGTCACTTTCTGACAAACTGATTAAGTCTTATTTATTCTCTTTAGCGTTTACTTTTTACATAGATCATTGGGACTTAAAAAAAATGATAGTTAATAAACAGTTTCTGCTGCTAATGTAGCATTGAAGGCATTGTTTTCAATTAACTTAGTACTGTTTTAAGATGTAACTAGATAATGAATATTCTGTTTTTTTGAAAGCAAAAGTGATTTTATAAACTATCTATAGACTTTGTGAATATTTCTTATCACTGCATAGAACGCCACTTTACACCTTTAATGTTTCAGGTTTTCGTGTATTTAAATGGATGTATTTTGTGGAGATACTTTATTTTTTAAACGGTCACATAAACTCAGAAAATGCCTGGCCTGTGTAAATGCTAAACAGAATTTCAAAGACAGGGGCACTACTCTCTCCAACTTTGCAGTGTCATGATAAATACAGAGTAGGTAGGGAAGAATCACAGATGAGTCCTTTCTGTTGGTAGAGGAAATTCCTAGTACTGGGATGAACATGTACAATAGAGATGAAGATTTAGGAACTCAGGAAGATTCAGGAATGGCTCGAGGTGCTAGGGGGGCTGGATAGGCTCCCAGAGCTGTTTAAGTTGGTGGAGGGGAACAATTACAGAACAGAAAGCACCTGGTTGAGAACCAAGTTTTTTTTTAAAAAAGGTCTGCTTCTTGGCAAGAGCTTTCCAGTTAAGCAGAGGTGGGTTTGATTAAACTAGTTTTTAAAATCTAGATTGGGAAGAAAGATACCTTTTGTGAAAAACACTAGTGTTTGTTTAAAAAAACCTAGTGTCTCCTTGGCTGGAGTAGGGATGGGCAGGCATTAAGGTGGTTTGATTGATAAGCTAGGAAGAGAATGAATGGAGGTGAGCCCATGGACTTGCTGGGAACTGCCCTGGTGTTGAGCCAAGAGGCCTTGTGCAGGGTCCTGGCTTTTTGCTGCCCAGAAGGACCAGCTAGGAAATGGGAGTGCAGCCTCTAGGCATCACCAATGGCTAGGAAACTGTTTGACATTCTGCTTCTCCAGATTGTTTGAGTTTGCCTACCCTCAAGAACTGGAATAGATGGGATGGCTAGACAAAAGGGCGAAGGCTACTGTCCAGTGGTAGGATTATTGACAAATGAAGCATTTTCCACAAGAGGAAGGCATACGCTGTGGGTCTCTTGTCTCATCCATGGAGCACTCAGGAAAACAGGAGATTTGAGAGAGACCCTCATCCTTGTATCCAGCTACCCATGCCTTATGTCCACTGGTGTTGGGGGGGAGGGGAGGCCTCAAGTCAAATATGAACTACTTTTAAATGTGGATACGTAGACAGGATTCAGTCCTATTGTCTGAAAGATAACCAAACATGAATTCTGGGTTTATTAAAAAAGTGAGGAGTGAGTGTGGCTGTCAGCCACCAGTACTATTACTGTTATATTCTGTTATCACTGTACATTACCGAGACATTCGTTTCCTTAGTGACCTCATTTGTACACTTTATTTGAAGCAACTTGGATTATGAGAAAACATTTGACGTGTGAAATGGCTACCCAATCCTTGAGGGACTGGTCACACACAAATTAGGTCTGGATGTTGGGAACACTGAAATAGCCATTGGCAGTAAAGCTCCTTTAGGAAATCAGTGTTTCACATTCCGTAATTGTTGGAAACATCCAGGAGGGCTAGGTCCCTGATCTCCTCTAGAAGTGCGTACAGGCTTCTCCCCTTCGTTTGGCAATATTCTCGATACTCTTCCTGAAGGGTGTTTCCTTGTACTTCCTGGGCAAGCTGCGCTTCCTCCACAGACCTCGTCACTTCCTTCACGATCTCGCTCTTCAGCAGAAGCGGGCTCTGGTGAGAAAGTTCTGTATTTGCTATCATGTACGGCTTGTTGCTTATTATCTCAAGCCGGATGGTATCCGAATGGCACCGTGAGGCTTGTACAGTTACCCGGACCTATCAATAGAAGAGAAAACGCGTTACTACTGTCACCTACTTGGTTCTCCACGTTGGAAACAATGCTCCCCCAAAGGCAGGCTTACTGTCACGTGGTCAAACAAATGGAACGTCACAGAGTCCCCTTCTGTAGTGGTAGAGGTGATTTTGTTTTGGAATCGTTGAAGGGATCCTGGCTTCCATTCCAAATGGGTGTCTGGGCCACATGAGATCACTAAGCCGTCTTTATTTCTTAGGTAAGCAGCCCCTTTAATCCCAAACCTGGACCATTAACAGAATACAAAGACAGAGATAATGTAGTCTGAGATCTTGTATAACCGCCTAGTGTGCTAGCTTTTTTTTTTTTTTTGTTAGCATTCTTAATAAATTAAAAGCAAATTCTTTTTTCTATGATTTATTACCTCCAAATACTGCTTTTTTCCCTGAGCAAATAGAAACAAATTGTGGCTAAGACAGTCAAATCCTAGGCTAAGACTGATGCCAGAGATCGCTGGCCTGGCTTCCCATGGCCGACCTCAGACATGGCATCACACCGTGCACAGGTACAGGTGGTAACTGTCCAGTCTTGGCTCAAATACACCCGCGTATGTAACAGCCTGTCGACGATTTCTTCATAACCACTTGCTCAGGCGTGACGTACCTTGGTACAAATACAAGCACGCCGTTTGTTCTGATGGAGTAGATGACACCATCCGATGTGCACCGCTCCTCGGTGTTGGGGTCTCTGTCTTTGAAATACATGCACTGGAAAAGCTCCGTGGACTGCTTCTGGGAGTGCTGTGCTGCCTGTAAATAGAAACACGTGCCCCAAACAGGAGACCTGGCTTCCCGACAGTCCCACTGCTGGGGAGCCCTTCCTACCGGGAGGAGTAACTACAGTATTAATCTCCTCAACGCCTTAGAGCAGACCTTGCTTGGACCCATCAGACTGGTACTTGCCATTGAGTCCGTTCTGAAAGTGACCCATGCATTAGAGGAGAAGTGCTTCCTAGGTCATGAGTTGAACTGCTAGTCCCAAAGTCAGCAGTTTGAAACCACCAGCCGCTCTGGGTGAAAGAGGGTTTTCTACTCCCGTAAGGAGTTTCAGTCTTAGAAACCCACAGTTCTACCCTGCCATACAGGTTTGTTATGGGTTGAATCCACTCGATGGCTATGAGTTTGGGCTTCATTTACACCCCCACTCCCCCGAATCTCATCGTTATCAGGTCTTCCATGACACTGCTGGGTGGGTTCAAATTGTCAATTTAGGTTAGGTTTGCTAGTGAGCACAAACTGAGATGGGGACACGTGGGCCATGCCCATTTCAGGTAAAGTATCACACCTATGCATCATCTTTATTTTCAAGTTTGCTCTATCAAAACCCTGCCCGTGCTGGTGTAAATTGGCACTGCTGGTCTAGAGGGCAATTTAGTAATACACATTATGTACACTATACACACATAGTAATTAATACACATCGTGGTTGTATTTGTGTACACCTTTTGGCTCGGCAATTCCATTTCTAGGAGCGTTTTCAGGCCGACTGGCAGGTCTTGAGACTTGTGCATGAGAGATGGTTCTGAATTGGATTAACCAGCACCGTACTTCCTGTTCGCCGGCATGTACGTTCCGCAATGACTGCCGTGCAGCTCATCTGCCTGTGCCATTCTGAGCCCTGCCTATCTATTAAGCATGTGAAAATGGCTAGTGTAGTTGAGCTAAGATTTTGCACAGCATGGGACTCAAACTATGGGTGACAGAAAATGGGAAATGACCCAAATGTTGAATACTTTTTAAAAATTGAAATTGCCGCAGTTTCTAAAGTGATGAGAGTTATATTTAGTGGCTCAGCCTGTTATCAACAACACGGGTGTAAAGTGAATAAAAGCAGGTTTCAAATAAGGATGATAACGTTTTATAAATTAAAATGTTGAGATTCTCAGGAATTATCACTAGTGGTTATTGCTGGGTGGTGAGGTGATGGGGATCTTTGCCATCTGCTTTTCGTATATCTGTGTTAGTATGTCTGGTCTTTTCCACTGCTACATTTTGAGGTGAATGGTCGACCATTAAGTCTCTCAAACCCCCTGAGCTCCCCTAGGATATTGGTAAATCAATCCGAGCTACTCAACAAGCTACCTTTCCCCGTGATTTTATTGGCCAGGATCCCCGTAATTCCAGAATTCCATGTGGTAGCATATCTGGCACACCAATCTGCACACCAAGCTGAGGGAGTTTCAACCCAAGAGGCGACGGGAAAAGTAACAAACCCATGCGCTTACTCGGTTTCTGTTGTTGATGTGCCTGCATAGCTCCTCAAGATCTTTATTGCTGGGCAGCTGCTCCTTAACGTCCAGTTTCTTATCTTTCAAGATGGCCGCCATTAACAATCGGTGTACTATAATATCAGAATATCTCCGTATTGGGGACGTGAAGTGAGTGTATTTATCCAGTGCCAGACCTTTCAAAGGAAACCAAGAGACTGCAGGAAAACGCAACAAAAGCCAATGTTTCGACCACCAGGAAATGTCCCCCGGCTCACCATAATGGAGGAACTCTTCCTCTGCGCAGCTGCCAGTGGAAAAGTACTGGGCGTTGGACATGGCCTGCGTAGCCATAGCGCGCAGCAGCCTGTTCACAATGGGGTCACTGGGGTCGTCTGCCTTGTCCAGAGAATCAGCCAGGGTTTTATTGGACCTGACAGAGAAGAGAAACACGGCATTTAGCGCTCAGCTGAGGAGCTGCTTCCAGGCTGGAATGCCTACCCTGACAAGTTACATTGGCTTAGGACACAGAGGCAACTCAACTGTTGAAGTCTAGTTCCTTGTTAAAGGTTCAAGTAAAGAGATAGTGTTAACATTAGTAATGGGTAAAGTGCAGATGTCAACTAGGTCCAGTGAATGCCCAACCTCAAGCTAAATAAAAAGGTGTTATAATTGGTACTTGAGATTTGACAACAAAAATTTTTAATTCCTATGTATATTAGGGGCTCATAGGACTCTTATCACAATCCATACAAACATCAATTGTGTAAAGCACATTTGTATATTCATTGCCCTCGTCATTCTCAAAACATTTGCTCTCCACTTAAGCCCCCGGCATCAGGTCCTCATTTTCCCCCTCCCTCCCCGCTCCCCCCTCTCTCATGGGCCCTTGGTAATTTATAAATTAATTATTTGTCATATCTTGCCCTGTCCGACGTCTCCCTTCACCCACTTTTCTGTTGTCCGTCCCCCAGGGACGAGGACACATGTAGATCCTTGTAATTGGTTCCCTCTTGCCAACCCACTCTCCCTCTACCCTCCTAGTATCCTATGTATAACTTTTTTCCCTATGTATAATTTTTAATGGGGGAGAATACTCATGCTAGAGTCTAGGAGTCAGTGGGTGCTGGTAGAAACTTCTTTGGGTCTACCATCTGAAGATGCTGCTGCCGACGTGGCATGTGCTGCTGGGGTAGATGCACTCAAATCAAGGAGAGCAGCTGCTGGATAACAAATTGCAACAGGTCGAGATGATGCCTACATAAACTTGTTCAGTGCTCCTGGATCTAGCACATTTTGGAAATGAAGACAGGCCATTTTCTATTTTTGATCTGGTTACCACTTTGTAGAATGGCTTCTAAGTTAAAAGCAAGTGTACAGTTAGACTGCAGACTCCCAGTTAGACTGGAAGAAAACTGGAGAATACAACACAAATTCGTAAAAAGACCACACTTGCTAGACTGAGAGACTACAGAACCCCCCAGACTAAAGCCCATGGAGTCACTGCAGACTCGGTGACTGTAAGACAAGGTACAACCGCCCTTGTGAGTTTCTGAGATTGCAGCTCTTTAAGAGTAGAAAGCCTCATCTGTCTCCTGTGGAGTGGCTGGTGGTTTCGAACTGCTTACCTTGCAGTTAACAGCCCAACTCGTAACAAAATCACCACCACACCCTTAATCTGAACTAAAGCCACTCCTAGTGGCCACCTTTCAGCCCAAATAATATAACCTTTAAATAAATAACACCTGTGAGAACTGTGCTCCTTAGAACAATCACCTATCGAGATGGAATGGCACCACTTTCCCAACAGCAAAGACGAGAAGGCAGGGAGGGATGGAGGGAAGGCAGGGTAGAACTGCCAGTGATGACACACTGCAGTGCGCAATCAATATCAGGGAACAATTAATTTGTGCATGGATGGTTAAATGGGAAACTAGTTTGCTGGGGAAACTTTTATCTAAAATAAAAGAAAAAACCCAGCTCCCTCCCCAAACCATAAAAACGTACAACACCCCCTCCCATTCCTCTGCTCCCTCCGATGAGGATTACCTTGTATCGATGGAGAAGCCTTTCGCCTTTGCACATTCTCGGAGTTCAGAAAAAAACTCCTGGTGTGGAGGAGGGTGTTGTCGCAACAGGGCCTGGTGAGGGAAGCTCTCCCAGATCTTCTTGGCCACCCAGTGGTTGGCCAGGATCATGCATTCAGCCACTGTCTCGTGGACTTCCAGGGGCTGCTTGGGGAGGAGGTCACGGATGTTCTTTTTCTCATCCAGCTGCACTCGGACTTCCACCCCCTCAAGTTCCAGGGCACCGCAACGGTCTCGTTGCGCTCGGACATGGCGAGCGATGTCGGTCAGTTTCCCAATTGCCCACATTAACTCCTCTAGCTTGGCTTGTCTGCGTTTCTCATCCAAGTCTTTGAATTCTGGAATATCCTCAATAACACGGATGTTTCCATCCAGTAGTTCCTGGGCTGCTTCGTAGAACAGTTTGTATGCTGATCGAATGATGGTTCGGCCATACCATACGTTCTTAATTTCATAGGAGGTTTTATCCAATTCCCACAGGACACTTACAGCGTACCTGCAAGTCAGTAAAGACAACACCACTCTTCAGTTTTCCCATTTCTGAAGCAGACAGAGCTGGGTCCTAAGTGTGGCCGGAGAGAAATGACATTACCACAAGTCACTGGCCTTAGAGCTCAACCCAACCACTCTACCACTAAATCAGAAACCTGTCTGAGATGGGGGTCTGCTGAGATGAGGTTCACATATGAGGCCCATGTGCTGTTCCCCGCCTTACCTGACAACCTTCCACTTTATTAGAATATGGCACGAGAGTCAAGTCTTGTTTGCCTCCCTTGTAAAGAAGAGCAAAGTCTTTCAGATCCTACAAGATGACACTGAACTATGATACTGATGGTGGGTTAATTAGCAAGAAAATCAGTAAAGAGTAAATGTAAAAATCAAAACATACACAAAATAGGCAACAAACAAAAAACAAAGGATCATTTTCTGTAATGTATAAAGAGCTCTGACAAATCAATTAGTAGATCAAGAAGAAGGATGAAAATGGGAAGACCAATAGATTAGTCCAATAGATGAATGTGTCACGTGAACATCAGTGTACACAGCCCTGCGACCAGAAGAATTTAGTGATGCCCGGTTACCACTACCAACTGCTCTGAAGAGATCACATTGGAAGGTCCTGGATAGAGTGGGAGAAATATGTGAGTAAAACCCCAGATCACAAAAGAGACCAGGCTTATTGGCCAACAGATACTGGTGGAACCCTCAAGAACCCTAGCTAGACCCTTAGGTCTGGAACTAAACTCGTCCACTTTGGATCAAAAGGGCAGCATTTACCTAAGGACAAAGTTCGGAAGGGTTAGCAAAGAAGGAGGCGTGGAAACAGGAAGCACAGGGAAGAAGTGGGTATATGGTGGTGCATTTGGGGAGTGGCACAAGGTATTTGAGACAAAATGTGTATGAATTACTGAATGTAAGACTGATGATCAGCTCTTTAGCCTTCATTTAATTCACAATAAAAAGTTTTATGTAAAAATGAAATAGATCAGCTATAAAAGAAAAGTAGACAAACATGTAATTCACAGAAAAAGATATGCAAATAACTCATGCAAACAAAAGTGATTTAACTTTACTCAGGTAAAAATGAAAATTAAAAGCACTTTAAAAAACAAATTTTCACCTATCAAGTTGGCAAAGACGTAATAAATACATGTAACGTATTGTGTTGGCAAGGCTGGGGTGGGGAAGAGCACTCTCTTCCATGTGAGAATGGAATCGGTGTAGCCGCCTGCGGAGGAGAAATTTATTTCATCTATGTAAACACAAATACATGTGCCCTTTGACACAGCAATATCACATCAAGGAATGTATCCTTCAGGAAGACTACTTATAAAAATGTGAAATGCCCCATGTTCAAAGCATTTCAGTACAGCATTGTTTAAAATAGCAAAAGATTGGAAACAATCCAGGTTTCCACAGACAAGCGACTGTTACTAGTATGCCATGCTCTCCAAGATGCATTCCTTTCTCCTTTTTAAGGAAAAGCAATATAGTAATATAGACCGAGAAGCTGCATCAAGATTGAGGGCTCATTAACAACCTGAGACATGCAGATTACATAATTGCTCCTGCTGAAAGCAAGATGGTGAAGAGGAAGGACTACAGCCGGCAGTATGAACTGCAAATCCACGGTAAAAAAATCCTCACAGCTGAAGCAGTCGACACCACCATGACAAGGAGGTAAAAGATGGGCATTGTCAAGAATTTCATTGTACTCAGGCCCACAATCAATGCTCATGGGAGTAGCAGTGAGAAATCCAACAGTGCATCTATCGCATTAGGCAAGTCTTCTGAACAAGACCTCTTTAAAGACTTGCACTAGACAAATCTTCTGGAAAGTATTAAAGAGCAAAGACTGGACTGTGAGGACTAAGGTGTGTCAGACTATTATTAATCGCCTCATATGCATCTGAATAAGGACGCCTAGAGACCAATTGAAGCATCTGAACGATGGTGGTGGCAGGAGTATTACAAGTAAACATCTGTCTTGAAAGAAGTCCAGCCAGAAGGCTCCTTAGGATCGGGGATGGTGAGACTTGGTCTCATATGTGTTGGACATGTCATCAGGAGAGACCAGTCCCAGGAAAGGACATCATTCTGGGTAAAGGAGAAGGTCAAGGGAAACGAGGGCGATCCTTAAGAAGATGGACTGACAGACACAGTGGCTGCCAGAATGGGGTCCAGGAGAACAATTGTATGGACGGTGCAGGTCTGGGCAGCATTGTGTTCTGCTGTACGTAGGGCTGCTCTGAGTCAGAGGTGCGACCAGCAGAGAGGATGCTGCCGGTTGTAAAGAAAGAAAACATACCCGTAGGCATACGACTAGGTGTGTGCAAATATATATATGTATAAATGCACAAGAATTGGTAAGAGAAGGGGCGAGGAGGGAGCTTTCACTAAGTTTCCTTCAGAACCTTTGAATTGGGTACCATAAGATTTATTTTCCTATTTAAAGCCAAATGCAAACTTTGCAACAAATATGCAAACAAAAACCTCTGGTAGATCCTGACCCTCAAGCAGGGAGTGCAGGTTACAAAGCTCTGTGCGTGCTCCTGTTTAGCTGACTTTGGTGAAAAGTGTCTTAGCAAGCAGGGATCACAATTAGTGAGCACCAGGCACCACAGAAGAGTAAAGACAAGTTATGAAAGCATATAATAACAGTAAGTGTGGTACCATGTGTACTCGAATATACACTGACCTAAATTTTGGGTCAGCGTATACTCAAGCAATACGGCAGTTAAATTTTTTTGTGTCAACTTGAATCTGTATGAAAGTGTAGGGGTGGAGTCCAGCCAATCAGATCACAGCTTAATGATGCCTCTTGGGAGGTGTGGTCTTATAAGGGAGAAAGTGGGACCCTTTCTTTCTCTGCCCCTGCGCTTTCCTGCTTTCTAGTGCCCTGTGCCTGCCTCCAGGGGCAGCTCCCTGTGGGCTGCCCGACAGAGCTGACCAGCATCCTGCCATGTTCCCACCAACCTTGGATCCATGCGACTCTACACCCGCCAGCCTGTGATCTTCCCGCACCCCTTCACGTTTCTACACCACTGTCCTGCAGCCGCGTGAGTCTGAAGAAGGCTCTGCCTAACTTCGAACTTACTGTCTTGAGTTGAACTGGGCTCGGTGGTGTTCTCGATAAGGAATGACTTTTTGATATAAAGTTCTTTCTTGTACACAGATGAGTGTCACTGATTCTGTTTCTCTGGGCAACCCGGCATCACACAGCATATTAGCTTACCTGTCAACGCCTCCCAGGAGGGAACACAAATCAGCACTCAGGATGGAGGGCAGCATGTCATAGCGCCGGTCTGCTAAGTAATAGGTGGTGGCCCTGGGGATGAAACACAGTGCTGGTATGTGACCTTCAGCAGCGAGCAGGGTGACTGCGAGCTGGGGGCTGCAGGGAGGTAAACGGCCGGCGTTGCAGCACAACCCCCCGGCTGTTGCTCTTTCATAGAGTGCAGCAGACTGGGTAATAAAGCCATTCCCAGGCTCCCACTTTGCTAAGTGATACTGCTTTTCATGAATAGTCTGCCACTGCCACACACACACACACACACACACACACACACACACACACACGAAGGAAAAGTCTTTCTCCAGTGACATGAATCTCAGTTATACAAGAAAAATTAAAGTGCAATGATCCAGTATTTATATAAAATGATACTGTGTTGCTATATGAAAAGGTTAACCCATTGTAGCAAAGTAGGAAATACTGTGTGTCAGGTCATGTTAGAAAAGCAGAGGTCAGTGGATCAGGTACGGCTTTTTGAGAGAAACGGAGAGGTGGCTTTCACAACCCTGCCCCTGAACCAGCAGACGTGAAGCTTTGCCTGAAACCCTGCGGTGAGCACAGTGACAAGGCACACCAGTCCCGCACACTCTATCACGTGTCCTCTGCAAACAGCCTTACCGTGCTCTGGCTTCGATATCAGTGTAGGAATTTGGTGTCACAAAGTGCGTCACATCTGCGATGTGGACCCCGAGCTCCAGGCTGCCGTTCCCTAAGGTTCTGACTGAGAGTGTGTCGTCCACGTCTTCACAACCTTTGGGGTCAATGCTGAAGACAAGGTGGCTTTTCCTCAGATCTCTGCGTTTGAGTTCCTCTTCAGGGCTCACCTTCCAGGGGCTTTCTGGAGTGTTCACTGGCATCTCACCCATCTGCTCAAGGAGAGGGCAAACGGTGGGCAAGGCATGCCTGAGCAGTCCCTGCAGCCTTCTCTGTGAGGCCTCAGAGTGCCATTCCTTCCCAATTACCTTCTGCCGTCAAGCTATGCAATCACTTCTTCCTAGCATAATTATTTATTAGGTGCTTAATATGGATCAGGGGAGAAAGGTAGGCTTTCTACACCTGTAAACAGACAGCGTCTCGGGAACCCCCAGGGGCGGTTCTCCCGGTCCTAGAGGGTTGCTGTGAGCGGAATCGACTCAAGGGCGGTGACTGCCCTTCTGCTTTCAATAATGGTGCTGGGCTCTGGAGAGTCAAGAGTTAATAGTTACGCCATGGGACCCTGTCTTTGAAGACCCTTAAGAGTCTAGCAACAACTTCCACCAGGATTTTTAGTCATGGGGGCTGGGGTAAGAATAAATGGGTAATTTATAAAGAGAACAGCTACCCCATTTTCAAATGGTCCATCTGTTTAAATGCAAGTGGAGTTTTGTTGCTTTTTTTTTTCTGTTTCTATATTTTTTTAATAAATACTTTTATTGGGGGCTCTTACATGGTTTTCAAAGCATTTTCTTCCCACTTGAGCCCTTGATATCAGCTCCCTATTTCTCCTCCCTCCCCCGCCTTCCCTTCTCAAACCCTTGGTAAGTTATAGATTATTTTTTCCATATCTTACATTGTCCTCCGTCGCCCCTCATCCACTTCCCTGTTGTTCGTCCCCCTGGGAGGGGGGTTATAGATTAATCCTTGTGATCGAGTCCCCCATTCTCCCCCCACCCTCCCCTAATCCTCCTGGTATCTCTACTCTCCTTGTTGGCCCTGAGGGGTGTATCTATCCTGGATTCCCTGTGTTGAGGGCTCTTATCTGTAGCAGTGTGCATGCTTTGGTCTAATCCTATTTCTAAGGTAGAACTGAGGTCATGATAGTGGGGTGAAGGAAGCATCAAAGAGCTAGAGGAAAGGTGTGTGTTTCATTGGTGCTATACTGCACCCTGACTGGCTCATCTCTTCCGTGACCCCTCTGTGAGGGGATGTCCAACTGTCTACAGATGGGCATTGGGTTTTCACTCGCCCCCCCACCCCCCTTTCATAGCAAGTGAACTTTTCTTTCAAATCAAGCCTTGGTGAAAACACACACACACACACCACACCCCTCAATATACCCCAAATATTAAAAGCTTACTCTTGAAAGATCATTTAAATAGGACCAAACTAGGACATTTCCTTTGCATTAGGACCTTTTTAAACTATCAATTCATAGTTAAGTAGGCTAAAAGGGAAGAGAAAAATGTAGTCCCACAAAGTGGAATCCACATTTTATTTTATTCTAACATTTCCACCAAGAGCTGCCAAACAACTCAACAAAGAATTTCCAGAAACTAATGTTAAGCATAAAAATTTAATCATGTAAAATATCCTCAGATATTTTACTATTATAGCTACCGTTCTGTCAAAAACTATAATGAAAACAAGAACACCCCTATACTCTTGATGGCAATGCAAACCAGTCCTATTTTTTCTGGAGAATAATCTGACAATACATAACAAAAGCTACTTAAATTTTTTATGCCCTTTGACTTGGTAATCTCACTTTAATGGCTACATTCCAAGGAAATGATCAAAAGGAAAAAATAACAAAAACAATGTTTATAATAACATTTCAAGTAGCATTCTTTATAATACTGAAAAATTAAATAGCACAAACACCAAGCAACTGAGGAATGCTTACACAAACTAGGGCACATCAATACACAGTAATTTGCCATAACTATTAAAAGTAAGTAGGCTTATGTCAATATATAGAAATAATTTTAAGTGAAAGAAGCAGAGCATAAAATATGATGTACACGCCAAAGAAGACTGCTCTATAAGAAACCCACAATATATGAAGGCTTTAAGATATCATAAAGGGATGAAAATAACCAATGCTTTGTGTTTATGGGATTTGGGGTTTCTGTAAAGGGTACAGAAATTTTCATAATCATGATTTTTTTTTTTTTAAACCATGGGTCAGAGATATATGGAAGCCAGGAAGCTACTGCTGGTGGCCTTGTGCAGGGTGCTGGTTGAGTGATTCTGGGAGCAAGCTCAGCTCAGCTGGGTCTATAACCAGGTGGCCTTGCAGCTGCTGGGATGGATGCACACTGACTATGAGACTTTGACACACCATTTTTAAGCACAGTTGGAACAGATAGAACTTGAGGGCTATGAGACTAGAGAATAATTCTGCCCTTGCGGCTGACTTCAGACTAGTCCGAAGACAGAATAAAAGGAGGGAGACTTTTCCATTATCTGTGGGATTTAGGCCACGGATCATCCCATCAAACAAAGATTTTCCTTAGCGACAAAACAAATGACCATCCAAACAAAAGCGAACCACACAAAAGGCCTCTGGGAGATCTGACCTGAGCTTCCGAGAAAGGGACAACTGAAATGCCGTTTTCCACCAAGATGGTTGCAATCTCCCCCTCCAGATCTCGGATCCTCCCCAAGACCCGCACGAAGTGCCCATTCGGATACACAGATGTGGGCTCCCAGGAGTCGATGCGTACCACCACCCTGAAGTCCTGGGAAGGGAAGCAACAGTACACTTGAGCTGGCGCCAGGAGAGGACTGGGTCAAGGAGAAGCATCGAGCAGCAGAATCTCACTAACTTCTCTGGGGGGGGAGTTACTGTCTACGTTCCTGGGCATTCTCAGATGCCATTTGGTAGGCTCGAACGGAAGGAGAAAACATTAGCGTTGCCCGGGCTTGAGTCTGCCACAGGATTTCACAGTGACCGGGTGACTGCCTGGGGACAGCCTGCCTTAGTGCCTCATTTACAACCTGCCAAGCCTCCGGTGAATGAAACCAGGCCGTGCCTATACTCTCTGTAGCAGGTAACGGTTAATTTCTAACTTTCCTGTTGATGTCTTCTCTCTCGTGCTATGTTCCTTTATGGATAATCGATTCTGCGAAGTATCACACTACATCATCCCTACAGGGCAGAGTGATCGTATTCCTATAGCGCTTGCTGGAGGAAAGCTTGTTAGTGTTGGCAAAGTGGAGCTATTGAAAGTTTCCGGGTTAGACAGCTGGATAATGCATGTTCTTGCTGGATGTCCTACACAGCTCTTTCTAGGTCGGCTTCTCTCGGCCTTTATTTATTAACCAAGGACGATGTAATAGATGGCTCTTATATATTTAGAATAAAAAAACAAAGAACCGGGTATCTCAGAATGCCCGATGTCATCAATAATTTACTCTCTTAGGCAGAGGAATCACCAATGCTTCCTGGCACTGCTGAGGAGCTGCTGAGCCCGGGGCGGAGGGCTAAGGGGTATGGGAGACGGTGTGGGCAGGGAGAGGTAAGCAGCAGAGGGGCACCCGCAGCTACCTGGAGGGCTTCCGCTTGCTGCGTGCTAATTCTGATTTTGGGAATTTTGTAATCCCAAGGGGTCACTAGGATTTTCTGAGCATTTTTGCCCTGAGATTGGACCTCTTCTTTGGATGGAAATGTCACCACGTAATCCCGCCAGTTCTTCTGAAGGATGCCCACCACTTTGCCTTTGGGAAAACCAAACAAAACCAGCCATTAGCATCATCAGTTCAGCAGTAAGAATGTGAACAAGAAACGCAGCGACTTTGTTGTTTCCTTCCCCAATCACAGTCACACTTGGGATGCTTCAAGATAGGCGCATACTTATCTAATTCTGTGAAGCCGCGCATAGGTGTCCTTCAGATGAGTGTTTTCTTTATACCGCCCTGTCAGTATAAGCTCCTTCTTTGTGGGGCCTGATGAGACAGTTAGGACCCATCTGCCCCACCTTTTCTGTGGCCTCTACCCGATCAGCCTTCGGGACGTTGGGAAAAGTCAATGTTTCTTAATCTTTTTAAAACCTGAGCCCTTTACGGTGCATTTTCCCAGTCTCTCCTGCAGTTTCCCTCCAGCTAGGATCCTTCGGTCCAAGGTCATAAAGCATAGAATATACTAATCAAAAGTCTGATATACAACATCTTCAACCATCACCGATTGGTCAAGAAAACTCCTTTAGCAGTTAAAAGTGCTATCTTTTCTCTTTTCTTATCACATTTCTCCCCGACCCGCTTCCAGGAGCAAGACGCTGCTCTAGGCGCAGGGAACACAGCAGTGACACAGCAAAGTCCCTGATTTCGCGGTGGTCACCACTAGACCCGGTGTCTGTGGAGTGGGCAGCAGCCGTATGGGAGGTCGTGATCGTTGTTAGGAAAGAGACAAAGCCACGGGATGTGGGGGTTCAGATAGTTTAAGGAAAGTGACAGTTGCGGGAGTGCAGCGAGGGCAGGTGGGGCAAGAAGGTAGGAGGAACGCTTGCTCCAGGCAGTACAAAGAATGAGCAGGAGGCCCCCTGGCACGCCGTGGCCTTGTAAGGACATTGGATGCTGTTCTGGGAGGGACAGGCAGCAGTTTGGGGAGGGCTTTGAGCAGAGGCATAGTAGGATCCACTATGCCTTTGAAAGGCTCCCTGTGGCTCCTGTAGACAAAAAAAGATGATGGGGGGTGAGGGCGGGAGCAAGGGGAAGAATGCAGGGGTGTTGGGATGACCCAGCCAGTGGGGCCAGTGGACCAGTTAGGAGGGTAATGGCCTGAGTGTGAGAAGCTGTTGATTTCCGGTCCTATATTAAAGCTGGAGAAGTCAAGGGCAACTCCAAGGTTTTTGTCATTCTGGGGGACCCTGGGAAGAGCAGCTTTGGAGTAGAAATCAGAGTTCGTTTTTAGGTACATTGTTTTCTATGCCCATCAGACACCCAAGGATAGATGGCTCAGCAGACAGAAGTGGAGGCTCAGGACGGGGTCTGGGGTAAAGTAGGAGATGTGAAGGGTGACATTTAGGGAGAGAACACAGAGAAGACATCCACCTGAGCTGAGCCCAGGGGCCCCTAAGAAGACAGTATGGAGATAAACTAGCAAAGGACCTGACGTAACGGAACAGACAAACTCACTGCCGTTGATTCAATCCCAACTCAGAGCCGCCCTGTAGGACAGAGCAGAGCTGCCCCTCTGGGTTCGGAGGCTGTATATTTTTACAGGAGTGGAAAGCTTCATCTTTGTCCTGTGGAGTGGGCAGGTTCGAACAGCTGACCCTGTGGTTAACAGCCCAGCTCATAACCCACTACACCACTAGGACTCCATTAAAGGAGCGGATCCTGGCACCCTGGTGGCGTCGTGGTTATGCGTGGATTCCCGGAGCAAAGAGGGAAGCAGTCAGGGATGACTGAGGACGGGGAACTGAGAGCAGCGTTAGCAGCGTGCTGGGGCAGGCCCGGGAGAAAGCGCTTCAGTTTTGTTCTGAAGGAGCTGTGAGTATTGCTGAGAATAAACGAACCTGCACAGGAAGACCGTTGTCACAACAGACATTCCCCAGGAGGAGCCGGGCACAGAGAGGCCCAGCTGGCTCACCTGTCGGCATGGGCTCGCTCGGGGACTCGCCCGAGGCCTTGTCCTCATTGTCATTCTCACACAGAGCGGCCGTCCTGCCTTTCCATTCGTCCCTGGGCAGCAGTTCCACAGCCACCACGTCGCCATGGATCGAGCGGTTTCGCGCCTTCATCCCATGGATTAGGATGTCGCTGGCTAAATCTATGTGGGGTCAGCACAGGGAAGCTCATCAAGCCCTAGTGCCATACCAGCAAGACGCTGCAGACACAATTCGCTGGGGTCTCACCAGCATGCCTCCCTTCTAGGGGGAGCTCCAGCTTCCTGCACTCTGCAGGTGTGGGAGGCACACACGTGGCCAAGGTGTGTGGAAGCGGGCACTGGAGTTCTGTCACACGCCCTCACGAGGGGGGGGGGGCTGTGCCACTAAGGGAGCTCTCGTCGGTGGATGAACTCCAACTGCATGCTTCTGCGACTGCCGAGTGGCTTCATTTCCCCTGCTGGAGCAGAACTCTAATCTCTTATGATAGAGTTGGCTTGTGCCCATTTTTGTTTTTATTACATTTTAAAAACGACTTCAAAAAAAAAAACGACTTCAATATGGCCATTGAGCACTTGAGGCAGTGCAGGGGGACATCTTTGAGGAGGCTCTGGGGCCAGACTGCTGCCAGCGAGTGTTCCCTGGGTGTGGCCCTGGGAGAGGGACCCTGGTTCTCTCTGCTTTAGCTTCCTCACGCGGTAAACGTCAGAAACAATGACAAGAACATTCTGTCTGCACAGGGCTTAGACCTGTACCTGGTCTAGAGTAAGCACTCGCCATGATCTCAGCTACTATCCCCTATTAAAGTTGATACAATTAAATGAGAAATGATCGTCAAAAGGCAAAGCAAAGCAACATGAAGCCAACCACCCTCAATGCCACCCATTCACACAGGACCCGAGGTGCATCACTGCTCCCCTGTGGCACAGCGGAATGAATGCGAGTGATAAGCCAACCCACGGTCATCAAGTGGACAGAGTAGAACTGCCCCACACTGTCAGTCTTTACGGGAGTCTCGTCTTTCTCTTACACGGCGGCTGGTGGGCTTGAACCACTGACCCTGCAGTCAGTAGCCCAATGCTTAGCGCATGGTGCCATCAGGAACCCTTAATAAAGAACTGAGCTGTATGGAAATCGAAGGAAGTTTTCCCCTGAACCTGAATCTTTGCTGCTGGCTCCTTGGAGACGAACAAATGCTTCCATTTGCGCTCTGTGTTTGTTGACGTTCAGGATTCCCTGAAATCACAAGTCAAAGGTGTCAGTGGTTTACCTCCAAAAGGTCCATAGAAGGGGCAGGGCACCACGTGAAAACAGCCTGTCAGACTCTTAGACGGCTGGCCAGCTTTCCTTTCCGGAGAGCATTACAGCCCAGCTTTGCTTTTCTCCACGGGGAACGTGCACGCCTTGGACTGCTGCGGTGACGGGCCTCTGCACGGACGTGAGAGGGTCTTCAACAATCAGAACAGCCTCCCGGGGACAAGCGGGTTGGCAGCTAGCCTTCTCAGGCTCGGCACGTTAGCACACCCAGACTCTAGGGAGGCACTTGCGGGTGTTCGCCTTCGAATGGCCTGCCCACAAGTTGCCCAAGGTGCTTGGTATACATGTGAAGGCCACCATGTGTCTCTTTTTGTATCCACATGTCACAATACCACATATGACCGCTCTCTGCCCCCACAGGCACAGCAGTGCAGGTGCAACTGTTGAGAGCTGAGCAGCCTAACTGTATCCAAGTCCTTCCCACAGCCCTGACCGCCCGTATCTGGCTCTGGGCCTGGGATCTGGAGGTCGGGCTGGGATCATGAAGGTGTCCGTGAAGGAGTTAGGGAGATAGATACCCAAGGCACAAAGAAGCCTAAGTTCACCCGTTTCACAGGTTTGCCAAAACTCTGAACCTTGATTACAAAAGCTCCTGGGAGGGCGGGGACATGAACTGATCATGACTGCACACGTCACTGTAAAGGCGATTCAACCATGGTGGGGTGGAGGGGGCGGGGAATGCTCTAAGATAATGTGGTGCTGATATGATTGAACTATTCAATTCTATGATATGTAAATTATGTGCCAATGAAACTGCTGGAAAAACATTTTTAATTTAAAAATGAGCAGTGGTATATCAAGTTTTTTTTTAAAAAAAAGGTCCTGGGAAAATTGGAATTAGAAGACAATGACATTTTCCTAGGAACTTTTTTCTTCTAAAAACATTTTATTAGCCGCTTTTACAGATATTATTACAATCCATAGTTCCATTAGATCAAGCATAATTATACAATTGCTGCACTCATCATTTTCAATACATTTTCTTTTCTTTTTGAACTCCTTGATATCATCTCCCCTTTACCCCCTCCCTTCCCCACCAGGGGCTTTTTTTTCACGCCCCCTCATACATGTGACCTTTCTAATGGTGACAGGAGGCCTTTGCGAGGCTACTGCCCTGCTCCCGTCCTGCGACAGTTAGGAAGCGCCTGTACAGAGCAGCTTCAACTGGACAGCCACTCTCGACAGGGTGGCAGACTTCTCATCACCTTAAAGACCCACAGCCCTGGCTTACTGGGCCAGGAGGGCCGGGCTGATGCCCATTTCCTTTACAGCCCTTGAAGCTGGCGCCTGTGAGTGGGGTGGAGGTGGGGGGTGTGAGTAAAGAAGAGAAGAACACGGCCGGGCTGGTCCTGACCCCGCTTCTTCATGACCACCCTCACCTGGATGTAGCGCCCAGATTTAATGCCGGCTTCTAACACTTCCAGGGCAAGGTGCTCCGGGTATTCCTTCCCATGGCTCTCCTGGCTTTCGCTCTCCCTCTCCCGCCGAGTCTGAAGGATCGAGTCACAAAGCTCATGGGCAGCCTTTAAGTCGGGCCAAAAATTGTCCAGGTAGCTCTGCCGTTGACAAGGGCACCAGAGAAACATGGTCATAAGAAGGAGCATCACCAACATCCAGAACCCAGACCAGGAACAGAGCGTGCGCTGCCGTGAGGACCAAGTGTTAGATGCACATTTCCTTCCCCAGTTCATTGCCCACCTCCTCCTTCCTGCCCAAGGTGTGCCAAGGGAACTCCAGAGAGAGAGAGAGAGAGAGAGAAGGAAGAGAGGCAGTCCCCCCAGAGCCCCGCCACTTCCCAGACATGCACGCATTCTGTTATGTGCACTCAGGGCATCAGACACTGGCCTGTGGCCAATGCCGAGAAAAGGCTCCTGTGGGCATTCCTGGTTCTTTTTGCGTGGGTGTGTTTTTCATTCTGAGACATTTGAAATTTGTAAGAAATTTAAATAAGAGATTAAAGTGACAAACAGTGACGTGTATGGGCAAATGTCCCCCCTGCCCCCCCCGAATGTCAAATGAGCAGACGGGGGTGCAAAGATGTCCCTGTTCACTGGTGTTGGGGTTTTCTCTCCTTAGCAGCTCCCAGGGGACGGAGTCTTCTGTGACTGTCTACTGTCCGCCTGGAGGTGGCGCAATGCTGCGATCAGTTTGTAGCCTGGTTAAAACAATTGTGAAATCCCTGCAGCTAGAACGTTACTGAGTATTTTTCAACTTCTTGGTGCACGTCTTTCAGAGTCCCTAGAATAAACACCAAGACAACCACTTACAAAGTGTCTCGGGGAGCAGATGATGATACATTTTATATTGGCTCCATCTACCCTGTGCAAGGAGCCCTGGGGGTGTCGTTCAGCAGAGTCTGCAGTTAGAAACCACCAGAGGGTGCCTACTCCCGCCCGAGGCTGACAGCCTGGGACAGGGGCCCTTTGGCTCTGTCCCCCATGGAGTCGCTGCGAGCCAGAATGCAGCCAATAGCAGTGAGATGGTAGATAGCATGCCGGGGAAACAATGCTTGACTCTCACTGAAGAAAAGCAAATTTACATGTGATTTTAAACTGAATACATTCTCTTTTCTCAAACTGAAAAGAAATGAACTTTATAGTTACCACTAGCATTTTACCTGCTAAATTTGGGGTCTTGTTCAACCTGATTCCTTCCAGAAGTGCTGTCTGTGTTGAGTTCAGGACTCCAATTCTATGACCATCTACCAACCACCAGTTTGTCATTAGAAAACACCTCTTCCAGGGGATCTACTGCCGGCCCTCTGCTCCGTTACACTTGACATCGCCACAGAAAAGTCTGGGCTTCCCTCTCTTTTTCTCTGCTATCGCTCATCTCTGTGAAGGCCCAGGTCACACAGCCGGCTTGTGAGACGCTAGTCAAAATAAAACCGCACTATACCACTGGACTAGAAAGAAAAGTAAGTTTCACAGCCAGTAGAAAAATGTAATTTTAGTCAACTGTCCTCTGCGGGAACAAGACATGATGTATTGCAACAGAGAAAACAAGTGACATGGCCATTAATATCTCGCGCCCCTGGAATTCTCCGGCATGCCAGAACACTTTTTTATAGCAGGGCCAAGAAAATTCTATTGGCAAATCTTTAGCGATACATGCACCTGGGAACCCTTATAGAATCTACAATTCAAAACCCAACTAGACTTTCTGGAAACTGACAAGGGTAATGGAGGGCCTCATTCGAGTTTCTGCATCCCCTCAAAAAAGCAAGGAAAAAGTTTTCAGCTAGTGGGACTTGATTGGCCAGTTGGGCAGGCAGAAGAGACTAGTCATCTATTGAGAGATAAACGGTTGTCCGTCCTCTCGGACAGCACCTCAGAGATAGGGAGAACTGTGATGCCGAGACAGCCCAGGAAACTGGCACAGGTACTGCCGCTCCTGTCTGTGATCTGGACACTGAGCTGACGGTGCCTTATAAATAACACCAGCCCCTTCGTTGACCCCTATGAAACCCCCCCCCCCCCCCCCCCCCCCCCCACACACACACACACACAGGCGGGAAGGGCGAGGAACAGCTGAGAAATGAGATTTAAAAAACAAAACCGTGTGTATGAGTATTTTTAGAAAAACAATTGGGGAGGCAGGATAGCATGGTGGGTAGGTGCCAGAGTTCTGGGGTCAGACAGTCTGGGCTCTCCAGCTCTACCACGTTCTAGCTGTGTGGCCTTGGGGAAGTTGCTTAGCTTGTCTGTGTTTCAGTTTCTTTACCAATAAAATGGAGATCAAGTATCACCTTCCAGAGTTAAATGAAATAATACATGTAATACCCTTGGCACACCGCCTGGCCGAGAAAAACCAATCACTTGGTAGTATATGGTGGCCATCATGATCAGATGGGGCCATATCACATTGCTGTTTTGTAGGTCCAAAATGAGAATATTGGCAATTGTCTAAGATTTGACATTTTACCATGACTATCATTATTGTTACTATGCTTAAATAAACATATTTACTGTCAGCAGGGGTTTACTGGGCAGATGTCTTGGCTGCTATGGGCCTTGTTAAAGCCAAGATTAATTAGCTGGAGGAGAAGGAAGACCAGGACACCCCCACCCCCCCAATCTCTCTTTGAAATTGAATAGTAAGGTTTATTCTGAGTCATTGGTATATATGCATATAAGGAGACCATTGATTTTAAAAAACAAACAGCTTGAAATAGGTTAGTTACAAAAAGGCTTATGAAAGTGAGTCAGTAAGTAATGCTACAGAGTCAGAGAAGCTCTATTACACAAAATTAGCCCAAATGAGAAGCTACTGTTCTCAATATACTCCCCATCTAAGTCTCTACATAGCTGAAGCCACTGGTTCCAACTCTTTAGCCCTCCCCTGACGAACTGTGCTCTCTGATTCACATCACATCCAAACAGCACCCCGGGGTTGTCCAGGGACTCATAGTGCGTTTCTTTTCAAAGCGCTTTGAGCTTCAGGAACAAAAACAGGCTGAGGATGGGGTAAGGTTTCCTGGTGAAGTTCTCCTAGGACAGTCCTTGTGCCTGGAAGAACAAGCCTTGTGGTGAAGGAAACAGTTCTTGATGCAAATTTTTTGGCCTTTTCCTCACCAATGCAGTTTTCAATTTTCTTAAAGCTTCTCCGTAATAAGCACCCCCAATTATCCTGTGTCCTTTGAGAAAATCCATCAAGATTATTCCTATGGAATGATAAAAAAAAGTTGCCATACCCTTTTGAGCTTTGCTTGGATGGACCGGGACCCGCTGCGGATCCCCTCAGAAGTCACTGTTCTGATTGGACCTCTTTCTTACGTTTTTAAGGCACTGCAACAAGACTAAGCCAAGTGCATTCATGAGAGAACTTGTCTGCAGTCGTGCACTGGTCGCAGACATGGCTGAACATGTGCTGCTTGCCGGTACGAACTGCAAGCCCGGGAGCCACACTTTTCTGAGCTTTATAAGGGTCCTTAGGTAGGAACACATTCCCACACTCCCTCTGACACAGAGAACAGCTGGGAATACCTTGAATGAAATCACAAACACGCCTTCTGTCTCACTTCCATACTGCTGAATTGTCTCTTCATCTTCTGTCACCATAACAATGGGCATTCTGCCCTGGCAGTGGTGATGGTACCAAACGGCTGCTCTGTAGATGCTCCTAGACAAACAAAAGGCACATGAGCCCTCCCAAGACCGAGCCGCACAGCTGCAATCCCAATGTGACACCTGGCTTTGAACTTGTGGCCCATACAGACAACTACTCACACGTCCATTTAACAGATATTGCCTGAGAACCCTTTATAAGTACATCCTGAACTAGGTGCTTTGGCGGCATCAGGAAGCACTTGGCAATCCTTCTTCCCTAAGCCCGGGAGAGAGATGACACTGTACTCTCATGAGGGGTTCGCATGGGAAGTACATAGGGACAGTCCTCTAGTCCACAGGGCTGCTGAGGCCGAATGGACTCGGAGGCAGTGAGTTTGGTGTTCTGCTTCCCGAAGACAGCCGACTGCCACAGCAATCACTGGGATTTCTTCACGTGGTCTAGAAACCATGGGCGCTGCCCCCCTTGAACACCCGTCAGTGGAGGGCCGAGCCCCACCCCCTGCAGGAATGAGAAACTAAGCTGTGTGAGGCTGGAAAGAAACAAGTGTTTGGCTAAGAGAAAAACTAGGCCACAAGTTGCTGCAGGCCACGATCCAGTAAGGTTGGATACGGAACCACATGAAACGTCTGATTATCTTCTGTAAAAGGAAAAGTGAGTCTGGAGCCCTGTGGTCAAGACCAGGTGATGTTTCCAATGACCAGAATAAATCAGGGGAGGTCAAGTTCTATAGATACAGGTTTCCTTTTCTGCAAATTCCACGTAAGGTCTCTTTCCTTATAGAACTGGTACCATTTTGTTTCATTTGTTTCAATTCAGCTAGGGTTTCCTGAGCTCAGCTGTGCCCTGGAGTGTGGTCATCCTGTGTACTCACGTATGACCCCGTTTGCCGAAGACCAGCTTGTCCCTCTCCAGCCCTCAGCTCTGTGGGAACTTGGGCTACAACTAAGCACTCAGGTATGTGGCAGTGCTCATTCTGCTTTAGTGAGTTGAAACAGTGAATGGCGATTACAGATAAAAGGTGACACGACAAAGAAGAATAGCGATGTTTTTCAGAGAAGATGCTTGAAAACGTAAGGTCTCTTTGGTCCTCCACGGACACTGCTGGTGCTCAGCACCCCAGGCCCACCTCTGACCTCAGCTGGAGCGGAAGTGGGCATTGTACCTACCCCAAGTGTCCAGTGAGTGCCCCTTACTCAGGGAGTACCTAGCTACATGTCTACAACTTCCCTCAAGCTGATCTTTTAAAGCAGTTTCATGAGATGTACACTGGTCCAGATGGAAACTGGAAACACAGGGAATCCAGGACAGATGAACACCTCAGGACCAGTGGTGAGAGTGGCGATACCGGGAGGATGGAGGGAAGGTGGTGTAGAAAGGGGGAACAGATTACAGGGATCATCTACGTATAACCCCCTCCCTGGGGGACGGACAACAGAAAAGTGGATGAAGGGAGATGTCGAACAGCGTAAGACATGACAAAATAATAATAATTTATAAATTATCAAGGGTTTATGGGGGGGAAGGGGAGGGAGGGTGAAAATGAGGAGCTGTTACCAACGGCTCAAGTAGAAAGAAAAGGTTTTGAGAATGATGATGGCAACAAATATACAAATGTGCTTGATACAATGGATGTATGTATGGATTGTGATAAGATTTGTACGAGCCCCCAATAAAATGATTAAAAAAAAAAAAGAATAAACAAAGTTTAAAATAAAAAAAGCCCCCCAAATAAAACAATTTTATGGACATATAGTTCATGTATCATACAATTCAGTGGTTTGAATATATTTAAGAGAGTTGTGCAATCATCACCACCATCAATTTTAGAACAAGTTCCTCATTTTTGTGTTCATTGTTATTAGCTCTCCATTTTCCCCCAACCTTGCCTGCTGTAACCCTAAGAAACTATTTTTAAAATTTTTTATTAAATACCTTTATTGGGGAGCTCTTACATCTCTTATCACAATCCACACATCCATCCAGTGTGTCATGCACATTTGCACATATGCCGCCATCATCATTTTCAAAGCATTCTCTTCCCGCTTGAGCCCCTGATATCAGCTCCCCATTTCTTCCCCCTCCCCCACTGCCCACCCTTCTTTCCCCCTTTCTCCCCCCACACTCCCCTAATCCTCCTGGTATCTCTACTCTCATTGTTGGCCCTGAGGGGTTTATCTGTCCTGGATTCCCTGTGTTGAGGGCTCTTATCTGTAGCAGTGTGCATGTTCTGGTCTAATCCGATTTGTGAGGTAGAACTGAGGTCATGATAGTGGGGGGAAGGAAACACCAAAGAATCAGAGGAAAGTTGTATGTTTCATCGGTGCCCTCCTGCACCCTGACTGGCTCATCTCTTCCCTGTGACTCCTCTGTAGGGGGATGTCCAATTGTCTACAGATGGGCTTGGTTCTCTACTCCATGCACCACCCCTCCCATTCACCTTGGGTATGATTTTGTTTTGGGTCTTAGATGTCTGATACCTGATCCCATCAACACCTCATGATCACACAGGCTGGTGTGCCTCTTCCATGTTGGCTTTGTTGCTTCTCAGCTAGATGGCTACTTGTTTATCCTCAAGCCTTTAAGACCCCAGATACTATAGCTTTCAATAGCCGGGCGTCATCAGCTTTCTTCACCACATTTACTTATGCACCCGCTTTGTCTTCAGCGATCGTGTTGGGTAGGTGAGCATCACAGAATGCTGGATTGTTAGAACACTCGAGTCAAGGCCCAATGTCCATTGCAACCTTAGTTTTTTTTTTAATTGAAAAAGTTTATATTTAGCATTAGCTAGCTGGGCTCACTTTAGATGATTCCAATTTTGTTGGCAACATCTAAAGCGTCATAGTCAGGAGCCAGTTGAACATATGCCTCCTCACCGTCAGGCCTGATCAAGGTGTGACATTGGCTACGTCAGTGTCATAGAGCTTCTTCCCAGTCTGCTTGATCTGGTGTTTGTTGGCTTTGACATCCACAATGAACACAAGTGTGTTGTTATCTTCGATCTTCTTCATGGCACACTCTGTGGTCCAGGGGAACGTGATGATGGCATGATGGTCCAACTTGTTTCTCCGGGGGGCGCTCTTCCGAGGGTATTTGGGCTGCCTTCTTAGTCTCGGGGTCTTGGGCCACTGGAAGGTGGGTGACATGCGGATCTTCTGTTTTGTGTGGCTGTGGATGCCTTTCAGCACGGCCTTCTGGGCTTTTAAAGTCTTTGCTTTGGCTTCCGTTTTGGGAAGGGCAGGAGCTTCCTTCTTCGCCTTCAGCGCCATCTTTGTGAAAAGGGCGCAACCTTAATTCTTAACATATAGGTATGAGTACATAGTTCTATTCCCCTCTTGTTATATATGTATTTACATATGTACATGCCTGTATTTAGGCCTCTATAAATGCCCTTTGCCTCCTGGTTCTTTCCTCTATTTCCTTTGGTCCCACCATCATGTTTGGCCTTCATTCGAGTTTAGTAATTCCTCACTGCTACAATGCCCTTGATTAAGCCCCACTAGCCATCCTACGCCCTTCTCTCCATTGATTTTAGTTCACTTGTTGTTCCCTTGTGCCTGGGTTGGTCCCCCTAGTCCCCTTCCTTTCTCCCACTTCCCCTTGCCTAAGGAACTATTATGCTAGTTACTGTCTCTGTAGATTTACCTATCCTGGATTTCACATACAGAAAATCACACTAACTGCCCCCCACCACCACCCAACAACAAAACAAAACAAAACACAGAAAAATCTCAATCCAAGCAGAAAATAATGAAAACAAATGAAAAATGAGTCAAAAGGGAAAACAAATGATAAGATGTTAAAATTTAACCTAGCTTTAACTGCATTAATTCAATTTTTGGTGCATTCTCTGAGAGCAAGGCTATTCATATTCTTGGCCAATGATCCAAGGGAATTCAGCAGAGGCTTATTCCCCATGGGAATTCTGCAACTGGATTTTTGGCCTTCACTGTCATCCTTCTGCAAATAGGGGTGCTTAGAATTTAAGCTGTAATGAAACTCTTTTCTCTGATCTTAGATTTTATCATTTACAGTCAGTCCTTGGATCACACAGGCTAGAGTGCTTCCCTGCGGGCTTAGCTTACACCTCACTTAGGTGGCTGCTTCTTTTAACAGAAGCTTTGAAGGCCCCAGATGCTATTCTTTCTGGTCGCTTCACCACTTTGTCAAACTGACGTGCTACACGGCACACCCTGCGGTTTTTCAGATTCCTCAGCAGGCCCAGCCCTTTATTTAGTGGTTTCTCCTCTTCCGTCTCACTCTCCCTGCTTCCTCATTCCTGCTTCTGGGAATGCCTTTCACATAAGTATCCCACAGCCAAGCCCTTGCTGCAGACTCTACTTTTAGGAGGGCTTACACGAACCCACTACCCTTTTCCTTCCCTTTCTCCACCCGTCTCAAAATGGAAACAAACTAACAAACAAACAAACAAATAAAAGCTATGGTTTCTGGGTCACTGGAATGATCCCGCTAACCATTGTGGTGTGTGTGCCTAAAAGCAGTCCCAGTACCATTAGGCTGACCCCGACTCCCGGTGACTCCATGGGTGTTGTTCCACGGTGGCGTTTTCAGAAGTAGATTGCCAGGCATTTCCCCTAAGGTGACCCTTAGTGGACTTAAAGTTCCAACCTTTTGATTGGCAGCTGAGTATCTCTATCTTCCTAGTTACAATTTCAGAAATACATATCTATTAGCTCTTCAAATGACCAATGTAAAATATTGGCACAGGTGCAAATTAAGCATTTCGGGGTCAACCATGGCTCTGTAATCACTCCTGAGTCCGCACTGATGGTGTAGGTCAACTTCCAAATAGCCAACGGTGGAGGAGTTAACGAGCATGGTCAAGAGAAAGCGCACAGAATCCGGGCCTCACCTGCTTTGCCACTTCTCCATGGGCTCTCCTCTTCCCCGCGGCAGGTAGCAGTGCTGCTGGAACTCATTAGCAAAGAACACGCAGTCGCGGCGCGCCTCCTTCAGGAGGTTCCGCACTCTGTTGTACTGTCTGTGACACAAAGGAGAAGAGCCAGTGGAACGGAGCAGCACTTACCCGCTGCCATCGCCTGCTAAGGATGAGGCATTTTCCTTAAAAAACAAAAAAGAGGTGAGGCATGTCCCTAAAAAATAAAAAACGATTAGGAATATTTTCAGGAAGGGCAAAGATGACTGAACACCCGAGAAGCAGTTTGATTTTCCCTGGCTTATGAGTTCAGCCTCTTCGGCGGGACTCTTCCCACTGGTCTGCTGTTTCTCCCTTCGTGGGCTACAGTGCCCTGGGGCCTGCCCTGATCCATTAGCTTGTGAATCAACCACACCCGTTTCTCCCCTTTACCCTTCGTGCCATTTCGTAATTTAGTTATGTCACCGTGCTGTGCAGTGTCCTCTTCAAACGCTCACCCACCACACGGAGGAGGTTAGGCGGTTAGCACTCGGTTCGTGCACCCCATCCTGTTCGATCACATGGCATCAGGTGTTAGTACATTTTACTTTTGGCTGGCATCCCTCGAAGAGGGCAGGTGAGGTCAGTAAGTTAGAGGGGTTCCCTGTGACTTTCCTCCAGGCAGTCACGTGATTGACCTGAACGAGGGACAGCTGTGGGTAAACAATGCTAGGCAAGGCCGTAAGCCAGGCTCAGTTGTTTACCACCAAATTAGAGGAGTGACAATCGGCCCCATACTTAGAGAGAGAGAAACAAATAGAGCTTAAATAAGAGGGGTCTCCTCAATTTCAAGTCTCTCTGCCATGCATGTTTCTTTTGAAGACTGTTGGTGTGTGCTCCCATTTGTCAGTCCCTAGCAGCCGGATAAACAAGCGGATGCACGGCACACGAATATTAATGAGGAAAGCGGAAAACCGACAGCCAACCACTCCGAGTGTGACAGCGAGTTGTTTTGAGACGTGTGGGTTTATGCGGATGATTTCATAGGGCACACGCACCACACAGTCATATTTTTGAAGTCATGGTTTGCTGTGCAGAAGACGGAATTAGATATGTGAGTACTCTACATGGAGTCAGCAAAGTGCAGCGTGGTACTTTGGGAAAGTTTAACCTGAACAATCAGAGAGTGGCAGCTTTAGACACCAGCAACATTTCAGTTAAAAACAGAAATTCCAGTTGTACCCTAAGGAGCCATGGAGGTGACTGGGCTGCTAACTGCCAAGTCAGTGGCGGAAACCCACCACTGTCTGCTCCCATAGAGATTTAGAGTCGCAGAAAACGTATATAAAATTGCTGTGAGTTGGAATCAACTCCATGCCAACTTTTTAGGTTTTTTCTTGACTGGCTTAGACGTTTCCCAAATCTCCATCATCTAAATATTTCCAAAATAACTTAGAAGGAACTATTTCTGAGTCAGCTAAAACGTCTTTTCTTTAGATGGATTTTTTTCACTACGTAGTCATCAGATGGCTACTTTGCCAGTAGAGGCAACATCCCCTCTCCTGCTGACGCTAAGGATCAAAGGGGCATCCCCAGCCAGAGGGCTGACTGGGCCATGAGTTCCATACTGAATGTTCTTTCTTTAACTGGGTTGTGTAGAACCCTTGGGGGTGGGGGGTGGGGGCACTGCGGACTTCCTCTCAGAGGTACTTCCGTTTTCTACGAGAATTTTACACCTTTAGTTTTCTACGAGAACTGGGTGATAATCCCACAAACAGCTGTAAAGCTGCACCTGTGGTAGCTGTATTGGCACCAGGAGAGCCCGGACTGGTCCGGGAGACGGAAAGCCTTGCCTGTGCTGAGGGGTGGGTGGTATTAAACCAGGCAAAGGAAGGAGCAATGTCCGTTGTCTAGGCAATGTCCCCATTATGGATGATGGCATGCTCGAGGGGCTGAACGGAGGCCTCTGTATTGGTCAAAAGGCCTCCTGGGCCTCAGGGAACCGTCCGTGGAAGGTGGCGCGTGCATTCCTGTTTTGAAAAGATTCTTGGGCTGCTTGGAGAAGAGGGTAGAATATTGCTTTAGTTCAGATGAGCGACGTTGGTAACTTGGAGATGGGTAAGCAGACATTTGTTAAGAGTTTGTTAGCAGGTAAAACTCCATAGCGTTCCCTAGCTGTCTGTCGACTCAAGAGAACTGAAAACACACCCATAGGTCAGCGCAGCCAAGAGGAGGGCACTCAGATGGTCTCGGATATACTTTAAAAATTCATCTTGACATCCAAATACAAAAACCGATTAAATACAGAGCCAGACACCTTTCTCTTGTCAAAGCAACTCCAGCTGATGACCTGGTTGCTGCCGGTCTTTCCTGTGGCCGGAGGCCACTTCTTTGCGTGGCGCTGCACAATCCCTGGCACATCCACCTAGACCAAGAGCCACTGCCCCCAAGCTGATTCCAAGTCACAGCAACGCGAGACAGGGCTTCTGAGTATAAATCTGCTGACCTGGCGGTTAATAGCCCACCCCTAGCCTAGCCCACAGTGCCATACCTGTTCAATAAGGGAATAAATAGCACACACAGGAGACAAGACTGACAGTGTTTGGGCGTGATCATTCAGTAAACAAACATGGCAGGGGTATTAATGATAGGAAGTGTGATTATTCTGACCAATGAAGTCTGATCATTCATACTGTTTTGTACCCTGTACGTATGAGAACAGATTTCTCTGCATTTATATTGGAATCAAAATACAAAAAACAGACTGTAAGTGTGGGGCCAGACACCTTCCTATTGTTAGAGCAATGCTGGTGATTTCGTTTCGGTAAAACAACACCTGTCACATTAAATTAATGTTCCTTTGCGGTTTTCTGGTTTTGTAGCTTTGGTTACTTAACTTGAAGGTCTGATTCGGTTTTAGAGCGGCAATAAGTCCTTAAGCATGAAAAAGTCCTAGACAGATGTTTAAACGCATTTAAATAACATTATGAGAGAATAACACGGTGTCTATGAGTTGCTTTTTTTCTTTTAGAAACAAAGTCAACATAAACACGCACGACCTACCGTTCACGTTTGAGTAACACTGGTGCTTTGGACAGGGACTTGGTCATGTGATCTGTTAAAGCCTTCCTTGTTCACGGACTGAGAAGCTGAGGCCAGCAATGCGGAGGCTCTCAGGGACTCAGCAGGGAGGGCGACAGGGGAAAGGGAAGCGTCCTCATGGCAAAACCCTAGAGGGGACCTGGGCGTGGTCTCTTCAGCGACTGTGCTGCTAACCCGGTGGACACCGATCTATTTACTCGCATCTCAGAGTTCTCCAAGGAAGAATGGAAAGGGGGAAAACGCTTTTCCTTTTTTAATAGAAAAGACAATCTTTTATTTACTTACATGAAACAAAACCCCAGAGTCTTGGCTAGGCCACATTTTAACAAAGTCAATGACTTCAGTGGAATCATTTTTTCTTTTTGGTCAGCTAGCCAATCACCACTCATAAGCCCAAGTGTCTGAGGACTGAATTAATAGAGCAAACCTCCTAATCAATGACTATCATCAATGAAAAGTGGATAGGACATTTTGTAGGGTTCAGCACAACTGTGGTTTGTTAGCTGGCCAACCTGAAGGTACCTTCTAGTTGCTGAACAGCACCACGCCCCCTCCGTGGTGTATGGGTTGCACACTGGACTGTGATCCCCAGGGTATGCAGTTCAGAACCACCAGGCTCTTTGCGTGGGCAGGTGGAGCTTTCTACTCTAGTCAGCAGTGACCGTCTCGGACACTCAGGTGTAGTTCTACCCTGCCGGTGGCAGTGAGAACGTGAGGTGTTTGACAGGCCAACGAAGTGCCAACTCCCAGACTGCTGACCCAATCCTACCCCTTCTCTCTTCATCAGTCACGTTCACTATTCCAGCTTTCAGGCCAGACTCCCACTACTTTGTGGCTTAACTTACACAGCCCATACTTCGGCTCTTGCAGAGAACAGATATTTCGTTTTGGTTGTTCATATTATTTATTTTTCAGGTGTCTCAACTCAAAACAGCAAACTCACTGCCGTAGAGTTGATCCTGACTCATAGTGATCCTCTTATAGGGTTTCTGACACGCTAAATCATGAAAAAATTTTAAATTTTCTTGACATTTAATTTACATCATACAATTCAATGGTTTAACCCTATTAAAAAGAGTACAATCTTCACCTCCATAAATTTTAGAATATTTTCTTCATTCTTGTACTTGTTATTATTAGCTCCCTATTTCCTCCCAACCTTCCATGTCATAACCCTATGAAACTATTAATCCAGGTATTGTCTCTATCGATTGACCTATTCTAGATTTCACAAGAACAATATACATCCCCTTCTCCCAAACCACACCCCAACAGCAATAACGAAAAAAAAAAAAAGGGAGAGAGAAGAGATAAAAATTGGAAAGAAAATAAAAAATAAGAAAAACTCGAACAAAGGTCACAAGGGAGAACGAATGACAAGGTGAGACTAGGTCTCTGTGGGAGCAGGAGTCCGCCGTGCTCCTCCTGAAGGAGTGGTGGTGGGCTGGAGGCCAGTGCCCAAGCCACAGTGCCACCAGGGCTCCTCCATGGGCTCGGGCGCCTCCTTCAACCAAACAAGAAAGCAGGCTTGCCGAGAGTGGGACTGAGACGTCCTCCGTACTCTGCAAGCTCACAAAGTGCTGACCGGGGAAACCAGGGTGTTCTCCTAACTCAGACCGTCTCATCTTTTAATTTCTCATTTATCGTATTCCAACACACAGAAAAGCAGTGAATAGCCAATAGATTGTCATCACGTTAACTACTTTTGAAATGTTCAGGAGCACAGACATTTAAATCCCAACTCTTTGCCTTTGCATGTCCTCCCATGGGTTTTTAAAGCCATCCTTAATATTAAAAGTATTTCAGAAAGCAGAACTTGAAAAGGCTCAGCAGTATGTTAGCAATCAGAATGATAACAACAAATTGATTTTAGTAGCAGAAATTGAAATACGGCACGTGGAGCAGCATTTAAACTGGGATGTGTATAAACATCTATATCGTGTGCTTGAACAGAATCAACTTCAAGCTCATTTTAAAATATTCAATCTGAAAAACCTGCACACAATCTAGCTAATGCACTTTTTTGAACTGAGCAAATAATAAGGACAATTTATCATTTTCATATACAAATAAAAACACTTCATCTTTTATGACCAAGGTCTGAAGAAGCCACAAGTTTAAAGAAGAATAAATACCTCGTTTCTGCTTTTGAAATAGCTCGAGTGTGATGAGGTTCAATATATAATTCTCACATGCTTATTCCACACAGCCTCCATCTTCATAAATGTTTCCTCAATGTTAAACGGAGCAAAATTACTTTATTTAGAGTATTTGTTTCAAAGGAGGACAATTATTCTTCATTTAGGGTCCAGGCCAGCATTTCAGACTGGTTTCAATCAGAAAATCCTTCTCTTTAGCAAATACAATGACCAGGGTTGGTATTTGCACTAGTATTATAAAAATTCTGGCTCCATTGAAAAATGATTACAAGTACAATTTGCATCCACAAAGGAGTCTAAGATTTAAAAGGCAAGCCCTCTCTTTTCCCAAGAATGTAAGCTTCTGAAGAAATATATATTTATGTACCACAAACAAGATTAAATAATAAACATATAAAAAAGAAATAAGCAATAACCCTGCTACTATAAAAAAGGCAAACCAAAAACCAGGTTCAGCATAGACTCTTAAATACCACATACTGGGGACACTGCAGTCTATTGATCTGTATAGTCAGATCAAATTTTAGCCAGGTGTTGAAGCAGAAACATAAAATTATGTTACCACATTCCTCACTAGCAAGGAGAATCCCAAATTAGTTCAAAAAGTCCCTTCTGACACAATAATGAATTTCTCCCCTCCTCCTCTTCCAACAAAGGCTCTTTTCTAAGGGGGTGGGGGCCGACACCACCATAAATAAATAATGGGAAACATACCTTCGCCCCCTTTGATGCTGCACAGCCTGACAAGCTGTTTGCATGAGAATAATTCCCTTCAGCTCAGGAAACTCCAGGACCTCCAGGTAATCTTGAACGACTTTCCAGTCAGGGATCATGTAGTGAGTCACGTCGCTGGACAGAAGTTTCCCATCTAAAACAATTGGAAATGTACAAAAGCTTAGGCAACGCTTGCAATTCTGGTTTATTACCATTTCCCTGTCAAAATAACTTTTTGACAGCGCCCCACTATGTAAAGTAACTTCCAATCTTAATGAAGTTTTGCAAAGAGCAGTCTACTGTGGTAGAGTTCACAGTTTAAGTGAATGCAGGGCCTTGATTCTTCTTCAGCCGTGATGAAGCTCTCTATCTAGTTACTGGTGTTACTGGCGCGGCCGAGGGAGAGGATGACTGGAATTTTTACCCCAATAAGCAGCTTCTCGGGAGCCTAGGTGGCATAGTGATCACGTGTTGGGCTGTAGGGCCCAAAGTTTGAAACCACCAGCCGCTCCCTGGGAGAAAGATGGGGTTTTTTGCTCCTCTGGGAAAGGCACAGGGCCGTCCCACCCTGCACAAGAGGTTGTTGTGAGCGCCATCGGCTCAACGGGTTCAAAGGAGGCACCCTACCATATATGTACGCTAGCCACTTGCCCGGCAATGTCAACTCAAACGTCAGGATATGTTCAGAAGTTCATAAGAAACTCTGAGCACGTCAGGGCAGGCAGGGTTTCCACCTGGCCATGCCCCAGAGAGCCAGCCACGGAAACAGTTGCCTGTAACCACAAGCCGAGGAACCCAGTCATTAGCTGCCAAGGTCCACCATGCTCATCTTCCAC